ATTGCTAAAAATGTAGAAATATTTTTATGAAACAATACATAGTTGATGTTTAAAATTCTAAGCATTTCATAAAAGTTTCTTTCATGTACTTACTTCATGCTCAAGGCATATGGTTGTTATAAAAAGGCTATATTATATACATGTCTCTATGGAAAGATTATGTAAATGATTGTGCATGTTGAAGGCGGAGTACTACATATGGTATGAAAGCACAAATATGGCTCTTATGAGCAATACGGAACAATATGGCCCTTTGGCGCAGAAGAGGAAAAGAAATGAATGACCAAAAAGATGTTTGTGTACTTGATCAGTACACTCCTGATACTCTGGCACGGTTGTATAAGATAAAACATGAGTAAGCATATGACATACATAAGCTATGACATCCATAAGACAAATGGCATACATAAGGCATATGACAAACACAAGGCATATAACATTCATAAGACTTATGAAAACTAACATGTGTAGCAAAACAATCGAGACTTTTCACTTCTAGCATAAATGTAAATATTCTTTTATTAAAGGCAAGTGAAGATGTTAGGGTTAGTGTTTCCTATTGAGCGTTAGCTCACTCCCTCGTGTTGAGATACTTTTTAGGAGAACCAGCTGCAAAGAATGACTGACCACCCTTGGTTTACCTACAGTCGTAGATGACCGGCTAATAGGTTCTTCTTATGATTTTCTTAGTTGTAGTTTACCTCTTTTTGGGTGGTTTGGCATATTTGATAATTTTTGTAATCACCTTTTTACATGACAATCCTCTCTTGAAGTTATATGAAATGATATGAAATATTTTGTATATTTGAAAAAAAATTTTATAGGCGCTTTTAAATCCCTGTTGAAGTCTTTTAGATTCTTAAATATATGTTGTAAGAAAAGTTTATGTTCTGAACGTCCGATTCCGTTCCCGCCTCGTCTACTCGCCGGGCCGGGTCGGGTTGTGACACTGGTAGACCCTCCAAGGTCGGATGTCCTCATCAATTAGCTCTTAACAACATAAGCAAAGAACCAACTTTTCGCATCTGCATTCTGCATCTTGGATTTTTATCACACCCTCACAAATAATATTAATCAGAAGGCTTTCAGGATTTTGAGCTAGATATTTTCAATTATATGCAGCTCAAAATTATATATTTTCATTCAAGAACCACTTAATGTGATAATTATCCCAGTAACCATCTTGAATTGACAAACTAAAATGTTTTAAGTCTACGAGTTTAATCTGATGAGTCTTTTCGCTCATCTTATAATTACAGACACCATACCAGCTATATGAACAGAATTTTGTTATAGTTTATTGAAAAGACTTAAAACAATGAGATTCATAAGCACCTGAACATGGCAACTCATAAGCACCTGAAACCATGGCACTGTGATTTGAAATTAAACTGAGATTGCAAAGTGTTAAGAACTCAATTCATAACTTAATATCAATAGCTCAAGACCACTTTCACACAATTCAAGGATAAGGCCGATGCAACAGAGCAAAATCAGTTACAGGCACAAAGACAAATAGCTGCATGGTGGCCTTTTTCATTCACTAATTCCTCATAACATATAAACGTAAACAATATATAATAATATTGATTGCAAAGTGACATAAAACTGCAACATCAAACAAATAGTAAGAAATATATGAATACATATCATCAAAAAATATTCGAAAAAATTGTAAAGCAGGCTTGTAATATACTTATAACATATAGCAGTTTAATGGATGAACAGCAACTGAGCTCTTCATAGGATCAAGCAAATATCTTGTCAGTGGTTGTTGAGGAATAAAAAACGAGAGAGACAACTGCATATTTATTAGTAAATTCTCAAATTTTAAGCTGCAGGTGCAAATCATAGAGAAAGGACATACATAATGACAAGCTATGAAGGTAGCAAGAGCATTTTAAGGTAAGAGAAGAGTAT